CCTGAACGCTTTCCCTCCCACCTTCCCCCAGTGGCCCTGAACTTCCAGACAGCTGGCACAGAGATGGACCTGTGTGATGGGCTCTTCAGCCAGAACGGCCGCTGTGGCTACGTGCTCAAACCACCCTTCATGAGGGATGAGGAGACTCTTTTCAACCCCAGTGACCCCAGCAGCCGGGAGGGCCCTGGCCCCGTCACCCTGACAATCCAGGTACCAGGCTAAGCAGAGACCCTGGGGGAGCCATGACAGTGTCCTGGGACTGAGTAGACTCCCACCAGATCGGTTTGGCTGCTCCCCAGCTCACTGCCCCTTCCTGCAGGTGATCAGTGGGCAGCAGCTGCCTAAAGTGTCCAACAGCAAGGACGGAGCCATCATTGACCCACTGGTGCGTGTGGAGATCCACGGGGTCCCTGCAGACCAGGCACACCAGGAGACCAAGTACATCGAGAACAACGGTGAGCCCCATGGTGGTACCAGGGACCCCCCTGCACCCAGGTGGCCCATCCATGCCAGCACCCACTCTCCCTTCCCAGGGTTTAACCCCCGCTGGGATGAGACACTCCAGTTCCAGCTCCATGTGCCTGAGCTGGCCCTTGTCCGCTTCGTGGTGGAGGATTACGACAAGACCTCCAGGAATGACTTTGTGGGCCAGTTCACCTTAGCCTTTGCCAACATCAAACCCGGTGAGCAGCTGCTGCCTGGTGGTGGTGGGCCGGGGCAGCCCCACAGTGGGGTCTGGTCTTGGCTGTGTACTAGAGAGCAGGGTGGGGGGCAGCCATCAGCCAGGGCCTCGTTGTCCCCCCTGCAGGCTACCGCCACATCCACCTCCTCTCCAAGGATGGCACAAGCATCCCACCCTCTTCGCTCTTCGTCCACATCCGCATCACCGAGCCGCCTGGCCCCGAGCAGGACTGAGCCCATGGGGCAAGCAGGACCCAGATGGAAGCCACAGAGCTGGCCCTGAGCAGCTGCGGCTGCAGAGCCAACTGCATCACCCTCTTGTTGAACTGTTTGTGTCATCCCTGTGTCATTGTCGCTGCTGTGCCCCTGTTTGCAGTGGCCTCCGGGGGCTGGGAAAAGGCATTGACATTCCCTTCCCAGGTCTGGGAGGCTGCCTCCCATGCACGAGCATGGGGTCTGCACTGGTGCAGCCCCCCGGCCTACCGGCACAGTCTGGCCATGCAGAGTAGGAATGGTGCGCAGTGCCCCAGCTCTGCTGCAGGGGCTGGTCCCCCCAGCCAGGGGAGCAAGGCTGGAGCCAAGCAAACCCTGGGGCTGGGCAGAGCTGGGAGTCAGTCCTCACTGCCCCTGACCCTGCAGCACCCCCTCAGCTCCTACAGCTCCCAGGGCTGGTCCTGGCGGGTGCTCGTAACTAACCCTTGTCATGTCCTTCCTCTATAAGCAACTTAATAAATTGTTTGGTGACCGGCAGGCTCAGGTCTGGGTGCAAAGACAGGGAGCTGGGCTTCTGCCTGTGCTCTCCCGCTGCAGGCACCTGCCCCACGGCTTGCACAGGGCTCCAAACAGCCCAAAGAAAAAGGATTAAAAGGAGCCAAGAGATTCCTTTTATACAGCCACATATTTTACATTCCATATACATATATGCCTATACACACACGTACATCGCTGCAGCAGGCCTGCTCCCCTGGGGCCTTAAATCAGCCAGGACTGGGCCTCACTGCGAAGTGCTGTCCTGCTCTGCGGGGCACCCTCCTTCCTGTTCTGTCCTGGGGGGTTCTGCGGCCTGGCTCTCCCTCTGCACAGCGTGGAGGTGGACGGTGGGCGTGCTGGGGTCCTTGCCCACCCCCTGGCTGGGGTCGGCGGCCCCGCGCTCAGGGTGATGCCGCTGGATGTGTTTGATGACCTGGAACTTCTGCTTGGCCTTGTAGGGGCAGTAGCGGCAGAAGAACGGGTGCTCGTTGGTGTGGGTCAGGTAATGGTGGCGCAGGCCGGCCGCCCAGCGGAAAGCCCGCCCGCAGGCATTGCACACGTAAGGCTTCTCCTCGCTGTGCTTCTTCAGGTGGGTCTTGAGGAGGAATCGGGTCTTGAAGGCCTTGCCGCACTGCTCGCAGATGAAGGAGCGGGCCTCTCGGTGCCGCGTCTCCTTGTGTACCCGCAGAGCGTCTGCCCGGTTGGTGCGGTACTCGCACTCGTCGCAGCGGTACGGCTTCAGGCCTGCAGCAATGGGAAAGGGGCTGGGATAGGGGTACGGTGTCCCATGCCTTGGCCCCTGGGGTCCGTATCATCCCACCTTTCCTCTCGCCTCAGGGCACTGTCCCCAACCCACCAGCAGACGAGAACATGCTGCCCCGCAACTGCTGGGCGTCCTCCCCCACCTCCATCTGGCCCACAAGTAGCAAAGGAAGCATGGAGCTGGGGTCTGTGCAGCCCCAAAGCCCTCCCCGGTGCCCCATGGCCTGTCCCCAGCGGGCAGCACTCACCCGTGTGCTTCGTCATGTGGTACTTGAGCTGGTTCACCCACTTGCACTTGTAGCCGCAGTCGGGGCAGAGGTATTTCCGCTCCTCCTTGTGGATCCGCATGTGGTACTAGGCACAGGGCAAGAGGGCAGGGTCAGGATGAGGCCATGCCACCTGCCCTGGGAATGTGCAGGGTGCCAGGGTGCCACTGAGGGGCTCAAAGACAGCTCTGACATCTCAAACTTCATGGGGCAAGAAGGGCTGCTTGCCTAGCAGACTATGGGCAGGGGGGATCCACAGCGGGGTCAGGATGAGACCCCTGTACTGCTGAGCTTGCTCTGTCCTTTTCTCCCCAGTTTGGTATTTAGGGCAAAGTCCAGGTTAAGAGCTAGCCCTGAGCTGAGCACATTGCGCAGCCTCGCCCAGGCGGCCCCAGAGGGCTCCAGCTTAGTCTGGCCATTAAAAAAAGTCAATATTTCTTTTAGCAAAACCAGACAATTTTCCCCTCCATTACCCCAGGCCTAGCCCTCCTGTTCTAGGAAAGGCCCTTCACCATGCATGAAGATGCTAATCACCTACAGAAATGAGGGCAGGGTCTGGCTCTGCTTGCAGGGAAGCCGAGCTTTCCCTGCACGATGTATAACTAGTGCCACAGAGCACGCTGCAAGCCAGCGGGCAGCCAAACTTGGCTTTGAGTGGTGTAAGGCTGCACCCAGAGGACACTAGTGATACCAGTGGGAAGAGGAGTGAATTTGGACAGCTTCCCACCTTCTTGCTTTGCTACAAATTCCCTTTCCCCTTAATCTGCAACAGCAGGGAAAAAACCATACTGTACTCACATGAGTTTTACCCGCTCGTCTCCTATTCCTGTATGAGCCACTGAAGAGGACAGAGGACAAAACATTCCCTTGGGAGTTTCTTCATCTTCCCCAAATCCCTGTGTCTGGATCCCCCCCCAACCCATACAGATGCAGTAAGATATATCCCCAGACAGGGCTCTCACCTTGAGACGCGAGGGGTCAGCGCAGGCATATTTACAGAGGTGGCACTTGTAGGGCTTCTCGCCAGTGTGGATGCGGATGTGCCATGTGATCTTCTGCCTGTTCTTGGTGGTGTACTCGCAGTCCGAGCACTTGTACACGCGGGTGCCCCCGTGGCCCTTCATATGCTGGTCGAAGACGAGCTGGTGGCAGCAGGCGAAGTCGCAGAAGGGGCACTGCAGGGGTTTGTCCTGGGGGGCGGCTGGCTCATGGCTCTCCACGTAATGCCGCACCAGCTGCTGCCGCTCCTTGGCTGCAAAACTGCACAGCTCACAGCGGTGGCTGAAATGCTGCGTCTTGTGCTCCTCCAGCGCCTCCCGGGTGGCAAAGGTCTCCTTACAGGTGCTGCACTCCAGGTGCGGGTGCTGCTTCTGCACATGGCACTTGAGCGTGGCCTCGCTGTGGCACACAAAGCCGCAGCGCGGGCAGCCGTAGGACACCTTCTCCTCATGCCGTCGCAGGACGTGCTGCTTGAGGGCCGTCTCGGAGCTGAAGCGAGCCTCGCAGCGGGAGCAGCTGAAGTTGAGTTCACCGCGGTGGCAGCTGTTGACATGGCGGGTGATGTCATTCTGCAGGTAGCTGCTGTAGTCGCAGAGCGGGCAGAAGTGGGTGGGTGTCTTCTCGTGCACCCGCAGGCGGTGGATGCGCAGCTTGGAGTTAGTGCCAAAGGTCTGGCTGCAGATGCCGCAGGCGATGCGCCCCACGCCGGTGTGCAGGGACTGGTGGGCCTCCAGGCGGTAGCGCCGCGTGGTGCTGAACTCGCAATAGCGGCACTTGTGCGGCTTCACCCCCTCGTGCTTGATGCGGATGTGCTGCCGCAGGCAGCGGGCCTGCGTGCAGGGGA